GATAGTTCACAAGTACAGACTCATCATATTTTGTACATTTTAGATATGATTTATTCCACAAACTTTTGAGCTGACGTCATCAAGTTTTTGGAGGGGATAAGCAAATATTTTTTGACTAAAGATTTATGATGCTCTTTATAGCCTTAAAACATCTGCAACATTTCAAAGCATTCTGGTTAGCAGATTAAAAATTAAATTTCAAAATGTTGTTTTATAATTTTGATTTTTTTTCCAAAAATCTGGACGTTTCGGGTGAAAAGTCGATTCAGAGTTGTAAACTACATGTGTAGGACTATGTTATTTTATACAATTGAAAACCCATTTACTATGTACAATTTTGAAGTGACGTCATCGCTTTAGTGGTGGGGATGATTCGACAAATTTTGGTTAGCGTTTTACCATCTACATGATATTCTTAATATAAGTACAAAATTTCACAACAATCGGTCGAGTACTTTCGGAGATTATCTGTCTAATAAAAATCCGCGACAACAGACGGACAGACGGACAGACGGACAGACGGACGGACAGACGGACAGACGGACAGACGGACAGACAGACGGAAATGGGAGACCTATTTCTTCGTCTTCTAGGGGTCATGAAAGATCGAGAAAACGTAAAAGTAGAGAGTCGGCCGACGGACTCGATTACAATACTTCCTTTGCTTACGCTCGGGAAGTAAAAATAAATGTAAATGAAGATAGTTAACAGTTGGTACTTTTATTATTACTTGTTTTTATATTTTTTAACTGCATGTCATTATTTAATTATTATTATTTAATTGTGGATGTCCGGGGTCGGCAAGCCGTATAGCCTCCGGTCGACGGGGAACTCAGTAAAAATAATGTTTTCGGTGGTTCTCAATTAATGATAAAGCAGAACAAGTAGAATTAAGGATTAATAGTATTTGGAATCAAACTGACATTGTCAATTTCCTATAAAAAATTATTTTAACAGGTCGAAACATTTGAGATGTTTTGTACATCCTGACACGTAAAATGTCAGTGGTTAATGAGTAGCAGCCATACATTACGAAAATATATAACACCAAGGTGTAGACTCAAAATATTTGGCCGACCCGAAATTTTGACCCACCAGCCGCCACTGTCGCTGACTGACTTTGAATCGCTTTTAGGAGTTGCACATGGGGACCTAGATGGCGATTTCTCGGAACATCCCTGGCCAGTGATACTTCCAGGCGATTCGGTTTTGGCCGTACCCAAAAGGCCTGCGGCGGGGCGTTGTGGTTTTTGAACAGTACCACTTACATCCGGTGGTGAAGTTAACGGCGGCCACTTCGGCGGTATCGACGTTTTTGGAAGTCGGTTGAAGATGTCGGGAGAAATCGTCGGCTATCTATTTCAGAACACCTTTTCGGTACACCATCTCAAAGTCGTATGGCTGTAAAGGACATTATCCAGCGGGCGAGTGACCATGAGAATTCGCTTGTCTCAGTAACCATTTCAACGACTGATGGTCCGTCTCGACATTGAAGTGATACCCCTCGAGATACGGGCGCATCTTCTGGATTCCCCACACGATAGCCAAACATTCCTCCTCGAAAGTGGGGTAGTTCTTTTGTGGTTCGGCTAGGCTGCAACTAGCGTAAGCTATTATCCGGTCCTGTCCGGATATTTTCTAGCCCTGGTCGCTGGCGTCGACTTGAAGTTTAAAGGTCTCGGAAAAATCCGAGCACTCCCACTGATGATTCTTCCTAAGTAAACAAGTCAGAGGCTCCGTGATTCGTGCAAATGTGGGCACAAATTCCCGGTACCTGGACGCTACTCCTAGGCAGCGGCGTAACATGTCCTGGATCGCTTTAACCTTGTCTGGATCAGTGGAAATTCCACGTTCGGAAACAACTTGCCCACGATATTTCAAGGATGTCTGGAAAAACGTACACTTCTCTGGATTCGGCAACAATTTGGCGTGGCGACATTTTCTAAACACGCTTTCTAGACTGCTCTTCTGTTCCTTCCATGTCTTGCCCAAAAAAAAACAATTATTTTTGTCCGGACCCAGCATAGCATTTAGAAGCTTCTGGAAAGTCGCACAAACGGAATGGAGGTCGAAGGGCATCACTCAAAGTTGAAACAGCCCTCGGTTCTGGATGGAGAAGGCGGTGATTGGCTTACTGTATACCGCGAGAGGAACTTGCCAATACCCTAGCTTCAAATCGGTATTGGAGAAATATCAGGCTCCTCACAGTTTGTCTAATATCGAACTGATATACAGTAACTCATAAGCATTCTTCTGGGTGAGCTCCACGGGCTTTCTGAAGGTTCAGTGACGTCTTCTTCTAGCATCCGGTTTACTTCTGCATCGATATTTTCTGCACGGCCATCACGGATAATCGTGTCGTGAATTACATTACATTAGGGGAAAAATGCCTAAAATGGTCCCCTCAGGTCAAATGATCCCCATCAATTGTAAGAAAATTTGTGGCTCCATCTACCAAACATAACTGTCATTTGATTAAGCGCTCTGTAATTAGTATCTTCTGAAAGTTTGATGGCGTTCTGTGTATTCTGCACAGTTTTGTGCCAAAATATGTAAAATAAGCACCTCTGATCTAAGGTAAGATATATTTTAAAAGTCCATTACTTCCATTTGAAAGGTCTTACAGCGGTGGTAGTTGTTTTGACAGAATTAGATACATTTCAGTCGTAGGTTAGTTATGATCTTTTTACCGCATGTAAAAATTGAAGGTTAGTTTACAATTTTTGAATGCGGATATGCTACCTAAGGCGAAATTATCCCTTTTTCTTGAGGCAAAATAATCCCGGATCATTGGGCGGGGCTAGTACCTGCTAAGATAAGACTGATTTTTGCAAATCATATACCCTCTAAGAAAAGAGAGGGTGGGTGGGCGGGGCTAGTACCTGCTAAGATAAGACTGATTTTTGCAGATAACATATCCTCTAACCCCGCCCACCTACTCATTATTTTCTTTGAGGGAATACCATTTGCCAATATCAGTTTTATCTTAGCAACTACTAACGACACCCACCCGCCCGTTATTTTCTTAGAATGTATGTTATTTGCCAATATCAGCCTTATCTTGCCAAGCACTAGCTCGGCCCATCCGCCCTTTATCTTGTTAGAGGGCTAATACCTAATAAGATAAGACTGATTTTCGCAAATGACATATCCTCCAAGAAAAGAGAGGATTTGGTGGGCGGGGCTACTACCTGCTAAGATAAGACTGATTTTTGCAGATGACATATCCTCTAACCCCGCCCACCCACCCTTTAGTTTCTTCGAGGGAATACCATTTGCCAATACCAGTTTTATCTTAGCAGTTACTAGCCCCACCCACCTACTACCTGCTAAAATAAAACTGATTTTCGCAAATGAAATACCCTCTAAGAGAGGAGACGGAGGGTGGGTGGAGCTAGTACCTCTTAAGACGGAGAAATTTAAATAATTTAAAAGAATTTTAGGGATTTTCGTGTTCTATTTTTGGGAAATTCTCAGTCTTAAGAGGTACTAATCCCAGTCACCCGCCCTCTCTTTTCTTAAAGGCTATATCATTTACCAAATTCAGTCTTATCTTAGCACTTACTAAATCCACCCACCCACCCTCTTTTTTCTTAGAGTGTATGTCATTTGCCAAATTCAGTTTTATCTTAGCAGTTACTAGTCCCACCCACCCACCCTCTCTTTTCTTAGAGGGTATATCATTTGCCAAATTCAGTTTAATCTTAGCAGGTAGTAGGCCCGCTCACCCGCCCTCTCTTTTCTTGGAGAGTATCCTATTTGGCAAAATTAGTCTTATCTTAGCACGTACTGATGACTAAAGTATTGTCTCAAACTCTTCCAGAAATTATACACCCCGTATTTTCGGTGCTTTTCAAACTTTTTTTGTTTATTTTTTTTAAGAATTTATTTTTTTGTCAATTTTTGAAATAAAATATTTATCAGTTATGTCATGATTTGATTTTTCTTGTTGATGCTGTCCCCTTATCGTCAAAATTCAAAGGGATCATTATGCCCATGCCGAGGGATCATTTTACCTATGGGGATGCCTAAAATGATCCTTTTGTAAGGTCCTGGAAAAACGTTAATAACTTTTTTTATAATTATCGAATCACCAATTGGCTTATACTGTTACCTAGATAAATCAATGTTCTTACAAATAATGCTACAGTTTTACATGAATAATAATAACTTGTATTTTTTAAAGAATTTCTCCCTTAGGGGGATCATTTTAGGCACCTTTCCCCTACGTTATATCCACGTTTACCATCTTTAGCGTTATACTACTTGAAAACGTTATTTGATACAACAATGTCTTGGATCTTTCGATAAGTATTGTAATTTTAATAAGTTGATATTTTAGTATAGGAGCATTTGTCCTTTAGCGGGCATTGTTATTTTTAGTACTGTATAATTAGTAGGTAGATTTTTTTTGTCGTAGTTTTTATTAGGGTCATTAGACTTTTACTAGTAGATTTTAGAGTTGAAAAGGTATCAGACATATTCAGCGATGTAAAAATATTAATTACTTGGTTATTTTACGTGGAAATTTTTGTTTTGGAACCGTTTTATTCCCCATGATCTTACTAAATAAAATAAAAAAAAACTTTTCCAACTAGAACTCCCTCCAACGGGAACTTTTTTCTATGATTGTGGTAATTTGATTAAAACACGGACTTGACTTAAGTCTATTACAACTGTGATATGATGATGATAATGGCTGCGAATCAGTCGAAACCAAATTCACCGTTTATAACTCCGGACACTACCGAAAGTTTCTTTTTGAAAAGAACAAGGCTTTTACTTGTCACGTTTTCAATACTAAAATCAAAGAGGAATTAAATTTAAAATAAAACACAAGCATTTACTTATTTTTACTTACGATGTAGGGACACATCGGTGATTCATTGACAACAAAAACACAAGAACACTTTGAAAGGTACCTGGAGAATCATGTTTAGAGAAGATAGCAAAGAAAACGCAGAAGGATCCGGTTAATTTATACATCATATATAGCAAAATCAACCTTCATAGAAGGCTAGTAATAATTAAAGTTTACTTTTAAGGGCGCTAGTAACTAAAACCCGCTAGTAACGTAATTAAAAAAAAACACACTTAGCAACTTCGGATTGGTTCCTACCTTGAAAGCCATGCTTCTCACACTTGGTCTTTGGGGTAATGATTCTAAGTCAACATGTTTTTCGAAGTATTTTCGTTGGAAAAAGCTACTGATGTCCTCGTCTGTTGGTGCGATTTTGACTCTTCTTACATGCACCCAAGCTCGTTTTAACGCTGCGCCGAACTTCGCAGGATTGTCTTCATTGCCGATTCTATTGCTCACAACAAATTTATTTCTACCACGAATCGACCTGTTTCCTGATTGACGCAATTTGAATGATTTGCTTCTGAGTTTACGTCTCTTACGTTTATATTCCTGACTGTTTTTTTCGTTGTCATCTTTTTTCGCAGATTTGTAACCGCTTTTTTCGGAGGAACTGCTTAGAAAGTCTTGCTCTTCATCTTCTGAACTTAGAGTGTCATCATTTTCAGTCGCCTCGTACAAATCGTTTTTGCTTCGAAACTGATTTTCGTGAATCAGGTAACTTAACTTTACTTGCAACTCGTCGATTTTGTTGAATATATCTGAGGTCATTTCTGATGTGATCTTTGAGACTAGTTTTTCCAAATCTTTTACAGATAAATTTACTGTGTCACGTGTGTATGTTTCAGTCGTCATTTTGCAACTTATTTTGAAAAAATGTAAAACTAAACGAGTTGCCGAAAACGACCCGTACTGTTTGTAATTAATCTAATGACAGTTGTGACGGATGTGATGTTTTACTGCCAACAAAATGTCATGGTTAAGATGCCAAATATAAAATACTGACAACAGCTATATATACAGTTCTGCTTTTGTTCTTTTTCAATATTAAAAAAAAACTTAAATTTATATCAGTTTACAACGATATCTGAAACAAAATTTAATATAAAAAAAACCTCAGATTTTTTGTCAAGTCCATTAAGTACTGCATTAGTGAAATAATCTTGGTTAATCTTGAAACCATATCAGAAAAGGATGTTCTTACAGCACTAAAAAGTTCTAAAGACCCTTTTACTATGGGACACGATGGTGTGCCCAGCTTCCTTTTAAAGGACTGTGCTTATGTTTTTATTAAACCTTGTTTATATTTATTTAATTTAATATTAAGGTGTGGTGTCTTTCCTGTTATTTGGAAAAAGGCAATCGTTTGTCCGATATTTAAAAAAGGAAATCAATCTTGAAAATTGTCAATTACAGACCCATTTCGCTGCTTTGTAATTTTGCTAAAGTATTCGAGTCGATTTTATTTAAACACATTTATGCTTCGACCAAAACCAATTTGTCACCCTTTCAGCACGGGTTCATGGAGAAACGCTCTACAATTTCTAATCTAGCATCTTTTACACAGTATACATCTGAGGCCATTGACAAAAAAAAGCAGGTAGATACCATATATCTTGATTTTCAAAAAGCATTCGATCAAATCGATCACTATTTACTAATCGATAAGCTTGAGCACTTTGGATTCTCTGACAGACTTATCCAACTTTTTACTTCATACATTTTCGACCGTGAACAGTATATTCGATATCGCAATTTTACATCTACTCTTATCAAACCTACTTCAGGTGTTCCCCAAGGATCTAACCTTGGACCACTTTTATTTTTATATTTTATTAATGATATCGTTGATAACATCTCTTGTAAAAAGTTAATGTTTGCAGATGATTTAAAACTTTTTTTCCAAATCAACTCGATACAGGATTGTCTAAATCTACAAAACAATTTAACAGCTGTTGTTAATTGGTGCTCAGTTAATCGACTTTACTTAAATCTTGATAAATGCTCCATCGTAACTTACTCAAGAAAACATGATGATATACTCTTTTCTTACAATATAGATGGTACTTTAATTAAGCGATGTGAGTCTATTAAAGATCTTGGTATCCTCTTTGATTGTAAGCTTAGTTTTGTCGATCATATAAATGATATGGTTTCCAAATGCTTTCGGACGTATGGATTTATTTACAGAAATTGTCGTGACTTTAAGCGTGTCGACACGTTACAGGCTTTATTTTTCGCACTAGTCAGATCGAGAATTGAATATGGTGCCTTAATTTGGTTTCCAATTTATCAAAACCATATTGATCATATAGAATCGGTTCAACGCTTGTTCTTAAAATTTATGTCTTTTCTTTTGGATGGGGTCTATCCTGGTCGAGGATATGACCACTCGTTATTATTATTAAGATTTAATTTTTTGTCATTACATAAAAGACGAATTATTATCGCCATTAAATTTTTGTTTTTTTTAGTTAGAAATCAAGTAGACTGCCCTGAATTGCTTCATTATTTAAATTTTCTTGTACCAAGAATTAGTGCACGCCATAATCATGTATTTTATTGTACTGCTGACAGAACTAACGTTTTAAGAAGATCTCCAGTTAGTATTATGTGTAGTTATTTCAATCAAATTTCACACTTATGCGATATAAATTTCGACTCTATTAACAAAATTGTTAGTTGTGTTAAGCAATCATTATATGGGTAGAATTTTCTTTTCTTTTTAGTTTTACTTTCTTGTTATTGTTAATTTTTAATTTTAATTTTTAGTTTTTCCTGTAATTGGGTGTAACCCCGTTGGAAGATAAAAAATAAAAATAAAAATAAAAATAAAAATAAAATAAAATAAAATAACCATAAAAGTCTTCTGCCGGAAAATAATAGCTATGAGATTCTGTAGTGAACGACGTAAAATATTGGTCAAGCTTTTCCTGTCACTCCGAAAAAATCATGATATGAGTCTATAGTATGTGCCAAAATTAAAAAACCACCAACACTGCAATTTATCTTGAAAATACAACCAACAACATCGCAGTTTTAGACTCGCCGCCTCCGAGCGAAAAACCGTACCGCCGTCACCGTTTCTTCTGTTAAACGCAAGAAGCCGGAACCGTAGAGCACGCGTTCCAGGACCAAGAGGAGCCCGTCTCGAAGGAAACGGCCTTCGAGGAGGAAACGACCGTGCCGAATATTCTGGCCTGTTTTGTAAACCGACTTGTAAATTTATTATTTAAGATTAGCTGGTGGCAGGGAATATAAATCCGACTATTGTAAAAATTCGTCTTATTTCTTGTCTCCACGGGCGGTCACCAGACCACCTGGAGATCCGTGTCTGCGGCTTTAGATCCACCCCGGTGCTCCCTCCTCGGAGAGGAGGTGGTGGTGCGAAGGTGACCTAGTAGGTTAAGGGCTTGGCACTGAGGCACGCCACCCCCACGCGATATCGGGGGAGCGCCGTACCGTCACCGACGCCGCCCATTCACTGTAGTTTCGTCGCACTATCCCGATCATGAGTTGCAGGTTTAAAAGATCCGTACTCTCGACGATGCCATACAAACGTTCTCAGTTGAAGCAGCACCAATCAGTGACTGATTTCCTAGTATCTGTCATAACGGTGCCTAAGAAAGACATAACTGCGAAATTATGCAACTGATAGAAAAGTACATTTAAGGGATACCATCATACGAATGAATGTGAGAATAGGTGTCACGTTGGAGCACCTAGCACGGGATGTTTTATTTTGGAGTATGATAGTATTTTCGGATGAGAAAATGTTTCAGTCACCCTATAATGGACGATTCCGTGTATACTATGTGTACATAGAATTGCGGGGTCTCTTGTGTTTTATTCTTGAAAGAATTTGAAGGAATCTTGGAGGCTCCTGGTGTTTTCTTGAAATTCAATGTGGAAGATTCTCAGAAACTTTCATTTTTTTATGGGGTAAAAAAATTATAATATATTTTTAGGTCACATTTAGTTAAAAAGAAAGAAAACGGGGAAAGACATAGAGGCCCAGAGTAATTAGAAAAGAGAGAAATACAGAGGTAGAGGGAAAGAGAAAGAGAGAAAGAAGGAAAGAGATGAAAAAGAGAACTAAAGGAGGAAAAACGTGAGGACGAAAGAAAGGAAAAGAAGTGAGAATAGGGAGGATAGGACAGTGCACGGGACATAGGATGAGAGGAGAAAAAGAGAGAAAGAATGGGAGAGAGGCCGAGAGAGAACAGAGGCAAATACGGAAAGAGGAAAGAAGAGAGAAGATTGAGGGGAAAGAGAGGAGAAAGAGGAAAGAGGAGTACAAATACGATTTTATCTTTTCAGCATTTCCTTATTTTACAATATGGTGGAGCTGAGTTGACTAGACCCGACCTGAATTGTGGGGAATATTGTGGTGGATCAGATTTGAAATATATAAAAATGGCCTAATAACCATCAACATTTTTGACCAAAACAACAATCATGGTTTCTAAAGTGAAATTTCTCTTGCAAATATTAATTTCAGGTGCTTTTCTTCTGTTTGCTTCAAGAAGAGTTTACAAAGTAATTACAAATTAAAGACGTTTGAAAACTAAGTAAAGCATTTTTTTTTCTTTTTTGTGGGGAGTGTTGTGCGGAACAGAGCATCTAAAATGAAATTATTTCTTGCAGTCTGATCCCTACTTGACATTGGCTAAAATCTCGACGTATTGACGCAAAGGTAGCTAATGAGCCGACATGATGTAATCTCTCTCTAATTAATTTTTGTTTTTGTTCAAAAGCAATCTCTGCTTTTCTTAAACGACCACTTACTTTAACTAAACCTTCACTGTCCAGAAACTTTTATTACTAACAAAGCCATTCCTCTGAAGATTCGAAATGTTTTCCGTAAAATTTGACTTCTGCAATTTTTTACAATCTCCTGGGTTGCCCTAGTTAACTCAGTGATCGAAAGGGTGTGCATAATTTTAATCCCCGAATGTCTACAATTGTGTACGAATCTAATGAAACAGGTAGCCACAACTCGTTGCAATTTTCAAAAGGATGGAAATTGTGACAAAAAGTCGTCCTCTTTAATAATATTGCTACGATGTTCGGTGAATTAAATCGTCGTAGGTAAAACTCAACAATTTATTTCTTAATAACTCGAATTACACGACTAAATATTACAGCGATTATGTACAGAATACCTTCCAGAATATATTCGCTGGACTCGTGGTTCGACTGAATTCGATTAAATGATTCCGCTCCCGACGGTGGCCTCTATTTAAACTTGTATTCCCTTCTCGATGTTTCCCAATCGAGGTCTTTCTGGAATCCATCGCGACTTCTGTTTCTAGGCCTTTCTTTAGCGAACGCCGCTTCGAGCGTTTTTCTGGACGCCGCAATAGAGACTTCTGGTTATCCGCTCGAGGCTTTATTTTGTGCGAGCGCTGTCTAGGTGACGTCGTCCACGATGCGTCATTATCGCCGTAAATACCAGAAAACTCGGGAACCCATACCTAGGCCATATGCGTCGTACCGGGGCGCCCAATGGGTTTGTTTCGTAACAATATGTACTAACACAGGATGTTTTTCGCATTTCCGCTAATTCCGCCACGTTCAAATTAGATACAGGCATTGTGATGTTTCCGTAACCTTTATTTATTAATTCCCTAGGACAACCACCTCTAGAGATAACGTCGGCGGGGTTATCTCCCGAACTCACGTGATGCCAATTTGAAATTTCCGTTAATCTTTGGATTTCGGCTACGCGATTGTTAACAAAAGTGTTTAAATTCGACGGTGAATTCGACAGCCATCCTAGTTAGGACTATTGTCAAGTCGGGGTAATAAAATATGTTACTAACTGCTATTCTTGGGTTATTTTTGACCGAATCAATTAATTTTGATAAGAGCAGTGCGGTTAACAATTCTAATCTAGGTGTAGTAATGGTTTTCAGCGGCACAA